TAGCTGTGAAATTGACAGGACCTGATGAATATGATATCTGAGCGTGCGGACGATGTTGCGGCAGTGACAACGAGTAACGTTAGTCTCAACAGACGCGAGGTTAGATGCAGAGTACTAAAAGGCCACAGTATAGCCTCGTGATGCGTCAAGAGCATGTTACCATTAAATCGGCATTCTGCCACAATCTATGAGGAATGAATAGGGTGAAACAAAACTGCGTGAAGCAAGGAGATGGTAGCGCAGAAATGGATGAGCAATTTATGCATTTCGGTTCCATCATTTAAAGCTATGGTGCGGTAAAAAAAGCGCTAAACAAGAAGACCATTTTTGCCCCTCGAAATTTTGCTAACCTGTCCAATCTTCGGATTCAGAAATAAATATTCGTTTTCAGAAGAAACTCTTCCTACACCCTGATTCAGTTCTACACCACGACATAAAAACGTCATTCCAATGAAAGCCGATAAACAACACATAACAATGCTGAATTTGATTTAAATTGACGGTTAAATCTCAGGACCAAACATGGAACGATTCTGATATTTTCTAAAGACAGATGTTCTCATTAGACGTAAGGATTGAAGAATCGTAATTATTCGCCCAGTCGAACCTGTTTAACATAAATCCTTTAGCGTAATTCGCGCCATTCTTATGTGCGAACCCGAAAACCGCAGACGTGAAACAAGTGGTGATTAATAAGCAACATTGTGCGTCCGGTATAAATTGGCGCAGAATAATTAGTGATAGGAAGTGCAAAATTTTCAAACGTAAATATTAGCGTTTGTGTGTACAACGGATTCTGACAAAAATCGATCATCATAATGGCTATTGAAATTCTATTTTCTGAAATTACATGTTGAGAAATTATGCATTTAACGAGACAAGTAGCGATTTCAGTTCAATAATTATATTGTCCTTTGGCTGCGTGTTTTGCCTCCTATGACAAAGTACAGCTCTTCCAATTAAAGAAAGAGAATTTTGTCAAAAGACTTCAAAATTCACTTCTACAGATAAATAGTCAAAGCAAGATAATCCTCCAGCTAAGCGACTGTCTTACCCCTTCAATAACGAAAACACAAATGTTCAAGAAAAATGACCAGATGACTAACCAACTAACAGACTGACTGACTGACTGACCGACTGACCGACTGACCGACTGACCGACTGACCGACTGACCGACTGACCGACTGACCGACTGACCGACTGACTGACTGACTGACCTACTGACCTACTGACTTGATGACCTACTGACTGACTGAGTGACCGACTGACCGACAGACCGACTGAGCGACTAACAATCTGAGCTGTAATTTTTCACTAGGTTATATTGTTAGAAACTTTTCTGTTAAAAATTCGATCAAAAGTTATGCAAACTCCGTCGTTTTCTCACTCTTCATTTTGGCCTTAAAAGAATCGACGTTAGAAGATTTACGTATGAGGCGTTTCGACCTGGCGCTGTCCATGGCTGCATTTGGTAAAGCGATGATCATAACCTTTTAGTAATAACCGTATTTATATCTGCGCTCCTTTTGTTTTTTCGACTATTCTGTTATGTCGTTATGATAGACTGTTATGATTGGTGAATCTGCTGTATGTAGTACAATTGGTCGTGCTACAATCTAGCAAGGAATTCCCTAATATTGCCTTTGATCCTTCTCCACCGCAGATTTTGATTTAGAAGGTATGGCGAAGCATTATAATGAGGTGAATCTTAGATTAAAGTAGGACACGAATAGAATCCTGGAAGAAAACACTTTAATAGATAAAGCTTTCGGAACGAAGGATGGTGTACCTTCTTTAGCGCAAATTATGATATGAGGCGAAGCTTAAGATAGTCTAGGAAAAACAAGAACACCCTCCCTGATGTCTACGAATGGCTTAACGGTTTTGAGACAAATCGTCAACAGGTTCATAGATTGGACAATTGGAAGTCCCAGGTTTTAATCCATGTATCGATCGACTACATGACTAGTAGTAATGACATAAATGAAACGATCAGAAGGATTTTTTAAATTTTTTTAATGTCACTTTTCTTATCTCCTGATTGTGTTGTTCACCGATGGGATAGCCTGGCGCCGGATAGCCGGATGACGACTGTACCAAAATAGAAGATGTCGAGGAGAGAAGTCGGCCATTTGTATCGGCCTTGTTTGATGGCATTGCCCAAACTGATCTCCAGCGCTATCCGATGGCGACGTAGTTAACAAGCATTTTAACGCATATAAAGCGAAATGATTAGTGCTTTCTCGTAACCCTTCATGCTGCGCTCTGTAGAAAAACAGAGGAGCAGTGGTACAGGTGAGGTTCACGTTCTTCGAGGTCGGGTTAACTGGTTATGGAAAATGGGAGGATGAGACCGACCAGCGGATTGGAATGGTCAGTGCCGTTCTGTGTGAACTATCCTACCGTTATGACTAAGGCGGGCAGAGCCTGAAGATGAAGTTGCCTGTGTTAAACTTGGTTTTCATCCCCATGCTTACCTACGCTCGTGATTCTGGATCATGACTGAGGGAATGCGATCGCCAGAAAAAGAAGCAAAAATGAGTTTTCTGAGTCGAATTGCTAAGCTGATGCGCTTGGACTTGATCCAAATTTCATGAATCCGACACGGCCTTATTTTACACTGGCTGCTAACTCTTTAGAACTGTATAAACATAATGGTTTAGGCACC